GGAGAGAACAAACAACCTTCTGAACAGCATGTGCTGGCCAAAGCCTTTTTCTAGAACAGAGAGTATGTGCTCATGCTGTTAAACTACGCCTTGTAGAGAGAGGGAGGTGGTATGCTTCCCTATGTGATGGCATGCTCTTTCAAGATCTATCGTTCTTTCTCAGCCGTACATGGAAATGCCAGAGATGAATGAGGGACCTTTTTCATGCAAGGCACGAGCTCGCTCTGCCACTGACCCACAACCCTTCCCTGAGAAGTACTCTTCTGTGATCCACATTTGTATGCTTGTGTTTCAAAATTTCAGTAATACACAACTGTAATCGGCATAAAAAATACAATTTGTTACATTTCATAGCTGAGTGGGCATTTGAACCTGTTTATCTGACATCTAAGTCCGAGTCACTAGTGACCTGTGGCTCACAGCTTCTTGTATAAGCAGGTTCTCCTTTACATATCTGATCTTCTGGCCTCCAGTCAGAGTAAAATAATTTTTTAAAAGTTTAGTATGATTCCGTGATTTGCATTATTCTTCTTTGGTTTGCTTTATTAAATGTTGCAATGGGTCATAGCAAATATAAATGCTATCTTCTGTAGCTCATCACACATGGATCTTGAATTAACATCCCTTAACATTAGCAGAATCCACATTGTAGCTTCCAGCCATTAGCATTATAAAATCAACTTAAAATATATACCAGACTTATATATATTTCTCCCAAGGAGTCTCCCTGGTTTCCTGATATTAAGAGTCTTTAATTATTGAGCATTTGGTGTTGCATGTTGTTTACATCACAGGGAATGTTTTTGTTCTTCTAATAAGAGACTTCACATCATGTGGTGGGAGAGAAAAAGACTGTGTGCACATACACAAATCAGATGCAAATGCGGAGTACAAAGTAAACTAGCTTCATATCATTGCTCATAGTACACATTTTGTCAGTTTCTGTAGAATGCTGGTAGATAATTGGCCTGAGATGTAAAGGCTCATTCCACTGTTCAAGGAACAAAGAGAGACAGCTTTAGCCCACGAGGCCATATTTTGTGAAACGTACTCGTCCTTTCTCTTAATGAGCTGAAACACACTGCTATTCTCTCCGCTGTAAAAAATCAGTTGCCCTTTATTCTTCATGAGCTCTATGAGATATTCAGACTGATACCGTTTATTCTAGTCTTTATCATCTTATGGTAAAGTGGTCTTTCATACTATGAAGATAATATGTGCTGTCATCCTAACCAAATGGAAATAATGATAGTGCTCCAGGAAAATCTCTTGAGCCTAAACCAAAAAAACGGATACTTCCGTGCAAAACTTTGCTCTGGCTTTAGTAAGATTTTGAGGCATCTTGTAAGAATGAGGACTCTTGCAACATGGTCCAACTTTCAGTATTACAGTCAAAGAGGGTGTAGAAGTAGATCACTGTTACTCATCTACAGGTGTTTTAAAAATAAGCAAAACTGAATCATATAGCCCTCCACAAAGGAGTTCCATGTAAACAACAGTATAGGAAAGCTCTTGATAACACAGTTTTATATTATGCTATTTTTGTATGGCACAACAGCAGTCTTGGAGGAGACAGTGTGACAGACAAGGTGGTATCTGACCTGATTCCTGAGATTTACACAGAGTACTCTCATTGCGCGTGCGCTCTCTCTCTCTCTCTCCCACTTCTCCTTCCTGTATACATGATAAATACTCAAATAAAGCTAGAAAGGCAAGGACCATTCATCTCTGAGTCATTAGATGCATATTTGAGTTATTTTCCATCACAAGAAACTATATAATATATAAAGTTGTATGCTCTGTTTGTTGCAGCCTGTCCTGGGATATTATAAAGGCACTTTCCTCAAATGGAAAGTGGATGAGGAAGTGGATAGTTAAATGCTTGTCTTCCTAATTCTGAGTAAAAATGATGGGGCATGAGTGGCATTGTCTTAAATCAAGGATGGGAAACCTGTGTGGACATACAGTTCTTGCTGGCATACAGCTCCCATCATCCCAGCCCACTAACCATCCTGGGTGATGGGACCTGTAGCTCAACAACACCAAGAGTGCCATAGACCCCCTACCCCTGTTCTACGTATTAATAGCAAACTCATTTTCCAAGTGGGGGTAATTTTATAGCTAGATATGCAGAAGTGGGAGGTATCAGCAGACCCAAGAGAACCTGACAGTTTGCAGGCATACTGAGGAGAGAGATAAGGGGTAGAGTGGAGAGAGTCTGACTGGAGTTCTCATTAAGCCAAAACCCAGCAGAGAGAAGGTGCTTCATGTAGCCATTGTACACACTGTTAGTTTTGTGTGTCTCTGTGTACTTCATGTAGCCATTGTACACTGTTAGTTTTGTGTGTCTCTGTGTGCTTTTTTTTTTTTTAGAAGTCTATCTAAGGAATGTGAGAGGCTCACAGGCTTACAGGGCAAGTTGTGAGGCCTCGGTCTGTTTATTTTTATTTTTATCTCCCACCTTTCTTTGAGCTCAAGGTGACATACATAGTTCTCCCCATTTTATTCTCACAACAACCCCGTGAGGTAGATTAGGCTGAGAGTGAGTGACTGACTTGAGGTCATATAGTGAGTTTCATAGCTGAGTAGGGATTTGAACTCTGGTCTCCCAGGTCTTAGTCCAACACACTAGCTCTGTGCCCAACCAGTGCCCCAACAAGGAAATGTGGGACAGTATTCATTGGGATGGCAGCATGTAAGGTAACATGACTGTCCCTAATAAAGAACAGTAAAGTGAACAATCCTGTGGTTGTGCCTATTTGTGTGCAGGAAGAAAGGGACTAAGGGTATGGGCAGCTGTCCTTTTGACAAAACCCCAGCACCAAATTGACTTCATCTTATTCTAGAGGGTTGGGGAATTCTCTCAAACAGATTTTATGACATGCAGGGGCTGCAGTGGGAGGACAAGGAAGTTGTCCCATTATGAGAGACTGGATTTTGCCCAGAAATTGGGGCAGGGGGGAATGGAATGATTTTTATCATAGGGAAAGGCATTGTTAGCTGGCTAGAACTCTGTATAGGAGCACTCAACTTATCTTTTGTGGCTCTCACTTATTTCACACTCTAGATAATGGAATGAAGCAGGCAGGTAAACCATGAATAACTTTAGTGCAGTTAAATCTTCATGTACTTGACCTCTGACAATACCATGCTGACTTCCTTAAAACTTCCCTTATCTCATTTTTCTCTGGTTTTGTTTTGTTCCTGATCTTTCAGGATGTCTCAAGCACTTTTCATTGTACAACAGCCTTGGGTTTTTTGAGGGTTTTTATCTTTTAGGAACTCTCACACATCTATTGTTTATATTGAGTCTTTGATATTCTAAGTTGAAAACTAGCAGGTGACAGAAAAGCCTTTGCATTTTTAGGAAAACATTGACAACCTGCCAGAATAAAGGAACATAAACATTGTAAACTGCTGGTCTTCTCATCCATATCATTTTTACTATAAATTCCCTGGAATGCATGGCAAAAGACCCCCTCTCCCTTTCAGCAGTGCCTGCAGGAAAGGTAACAACAACAACAACAACAACAACAACAACAACAACAACAACAACAATTTATTTATACCCCGCCCATCTCTTGCTCTGATAACACAATGTTCTTCACTCCTTGAACTATATATTAAGTCAACCAATATACCACTTGCGGAGTGTATGGAGTGTTAGGAGAGGGTAGTAATTAATATAATATAATAATATATAATAATATATAATAATATATAATATAATATAATATAATATAATATAATATAATATAATAATATAATATAATATAATTAATATAATATTTATTATTTATACCCCTCCCATCTGGGTGGGCTTCCCCAGCCACTCTGGGCGGCTTCCAACAGAATATTAAAATACAATAGTCTATTAAGCATTAAAAGCTTCCCTAAACAGGGCTGCCTTCAGATGTCTTCTAAAAGTCTGGTAGTTTTTTTTCTCTTTGACATCTGTTGGGAGGGCGTTCCACAGGGCGGGCGCCACTACCAAGAAGGCCCTCTGCCTGGTTCCCTGTAGCTTTGCTTCTTGCAGTGAGGGAACCACCAAAAGGCCCTCAGCGCTGGACCTCAGCGTCCGGGCAGAACGATGGGGGTGGAGATGCTCCTTCAGGTATACTGGGCCAAGGCTGTTTAGGGCTTTAAAGGTCAACACCAACACTTTGAATTGTGCTCGGAAACATACTGGGAGCCAATGTAGGTCTTTCAAGACCGGTGTTATGTGGTCTCAGCGGCCACCCCCATTCACCAGTCTAGCTTCCATTGTAGTTGTAAAATCTACAACTGTACAATGAAACACACATACAGTCTATTGATTGTCTATTTTTCTGCCCCTTTGCACTCTTTAGTAATGAGGAAATGTGAGGACAGGAGAACTACTTTGATTTCACATATGTTTTAGCTTGATTGCCATTTTATTAATTTTCAGTAATTTGCTCTTGTGTAGCAAATATCAGCACATGCAACCAAATATTCACCACAAAGTACCACAAAGTACTGTGAAAGGTAACCTACCTCATAGAGTTGTTGTGAAAATAAAATGGGGAAGAAGAAAAGCATGAATGCCACCTTGAGCTCCTTGGAGTTTAGGTGGGATATTGGTTGGTTGGTTGGTTGGTTGGTCAGTCAGTCAGTCAGTCAGTCAGTTAAAACAATTACTGCTACTTCCTAGAGGAGGAAGAGACATGTGGTGGTGGTGGTAAGTGATTCCCTGATGAGGGAGAAAGAGGCAGCATTGTGTGGAGGTAACAGGATGTCCCAGGAGGTGTGCTGTCTTCCAGGTGCAAAGATTCCTTCCTTCTGATTCATGCAGGTAGAAATGATAAAGCCAGACACAGCCTTCAACATATAGCAAAGAACTATGAGACTCTGGGCAGGAAGCTGAAGGGCTTTGGGGTGCAGGTGGTTTTTTAAACCACTCCTTCCTGTTGAAGATTGTGGCCCAGAAAGAACAAGGACAATACTGCGGGGAATTCCTCTATGACCTTTTTAATGCATTGGTTTGTGCAAAACAAAAATCAGAGTTTGGTGAATATTCTTTAAATCAAATTTCTGATCATAAGGTGGCATCTGATTGACTTCTGTGAGAACAGAATGCTGGACTAGATGAGCCACTGGTCTGATCCCATTGGGCTCCTCTTAGGTTATTTATGTCCCATTTCAGTTCTGAAATGTACCAGATGTCATGGGTTAACTTTAGGTCAAAAAAGCAACTCATTTTAAATCACCTGTAATTAAAGGCTATCTCATTTTCTCATTCATGTTAGCTACCATCCATACTGACTCCAAATTTGTCTCTTTCTCCATCCAAATCTCAGTGCCATCCAAAACAGCAACACTGGATTCACCGTCATATCACACTATATTTTTTGCAAATAATCAGTAGGAAACTGGCTGTAAGAAACATGGGCTTAGTTTCATAGAATTCCTAATTTTGTGCATTAGCTGTAATACTTCAGTGCTGCTGATGGAGGTTCACTTTACTGATTGTCCTTCCCATCCAAGCAAGCTTTTCCATATAGATAACCCGCATGCTACTTTTCTACATGGGTAGCATTTTGTGCGCATTAGGAAGAGCGTTCTGTCATCTGTGCCCACACCTAGCGTCTGGAGTGACACAGCCAAAACGCCACTTTACCAACTCAGTGATACTTGGTCTCTAGCCATCCTCTAGCATTCATGGATGAAAATCAATAGAGTGACCCATTAACAGTAATTTCTGTCCATTTAGATGCATTGTGCTCAGGACTCCCTTGTTCGAGTCATTACACTTCCACCAGAACCAATGCTTTTCATCATTGCTTCATTAGTTCAGCATACAAAATAGTTTTGTTCCATAGTCCCAAGAGCTGGGTAGATTTATTAACCAACTAGGTTTCTGTTATTGGGCTGTTTTTCAGTGTGAGCAGCAGAATGAACTGCAAAACATAGAGTGGAAAACTCAAAAGATGATTCCAGCTCTAAAGATGAGAAAACTGCTATAGTTTGTCAGAAACGATTTGTGCAATATAAGTGTAATACATGTATGAGAATTTAGAAAAAAACATACTACATTAATGTTTGTATACATTTATTGCTCTCCTCCTTTTTGACATGAAAAGTTGGTATCCAGTTCTATTGCAAAAATATATATAATAACCCGAAAAAGTATCATAAATAGCAGTAACTATGGCAATAGCTTATGTTTTCCACCACTTATTGTGAAAGAAATTGGCTTGGATTTGGAGATGTCTTGCATGAGAAGAAAACCAGTTGCCCTCTGACAATGCAGCCTTGCCAAGTTCTTGCAGGGAGACCAGCAGTAGGCGTATCCAAGCCAATTACAGTCAGAGCCACCCACTGACTGATGGTAAGATGGCAGACAAGTGAGGGCTGGCAATTGTCTGAGATTGGTGCGGCAACCATCCATTTGCCCTGTAATGGATCAGCCTTTACTTAATTTCCCAATCCTTCTGCAGCCTCCATGCCTCGTTGTGCAGAGAGCTTTTAATTTTTCTCTGTTGGTAGTTTTTTGGTTATTGTTACTGATCGATCTTAATAGATTGTTATGTACTGCTCTGGGAATATTTGAGCCCGTAAGCACTCAGGAGCAGTTGGGGGGGGCAATGCAAGGAGGTCTCATGGCAGGAGGGGAGGAGCCAGGAAAGCTCCATTGTGCAGACAAAGTTCCAATCTTGTCAGGATCCAGCCCGTCTTACACAGAATTTATTTGTAACTGTATTATAGAGTCCTCTCTCTTTTTGAACTAAAAGAAGGCGTGAGCATTCATTTTATGGAAAATGGGGGGTTAAATAAATATGTTATAGAATCCATGCACTAAAACAAATGAGTTCTGGGTGGTCATGCATACATTTTCTCTATTTTTGTTAGTAGCAGCCAGGCTACTTTAGGATTACAAGGAGGATGGGGGTGGAGAGAGTATTTTTAGTTCAGTCTCTTTTTAGTTGAAGTCCTGGATACCATTTGCTGTTCACCCAAAGAAAAAGGCCCAGAGGGATTCTAAAGGCTCTGGGGACCAATGAATAAAACCAGCAATGCTATTGAGCCTTAGGAAAAAGAAGCTCCAGAGAGAATGTCTAACCAAGCTAGTTAGAAAAGTTTACTAAAGCTACAATCCTAACCCCACATACCTAGGAGTAAACCCAGTTGAGTTCAATAGGACTTACTCAGTTTCTGAGAAGACATGGTTAGGATTGTCTTGTAAGTCACAGCCCTACCGTAGGTTTTCCCTGCCACTTTAGCCTTTGATAATATTTTTGAGGCAAAAGAATATTCCAGATGTTACTGAACTACCACTCCTTTAATCCCTAGCCAGTAGCCATGTTTCTTAAAACTATTCGGAGTTGTAGTTCACAATATCTGGAGGGTCAAAGGTTCCCGACATCTGCTTTGAGACATCTAGGAAGAGGTCTTTTTTTTAAAAAAAAAGACTTTATCCCACAGTGCTCAAGAATGAACAAAACCTAGCCTTCGGCCTCTAGAAAAGATGAATCCAGAGAATCTATGAGAAATATAAATATTAAAGATGAAAATTCTGTTGAATAGTAAATTGATTATAATGGGAACATTGCTTCTTTTGTAAAAACATACAGTTTTGAGTGCCAAATTTATTTTCAAGCTGCATAACAGACAAAAGCCTACTAGAACAGAAGGCAATTGTAAAGAAATTGTTCTTATGATTAGTATGAGCCTAACAGAACTCCTGCTACGAAGTGGTGCTATGTGTAAGAAAAGGAGGAAAAGTCTGTTCATGATATTGAGCAGAAATGAATCAGCACTTTTACCTGCAGGTTCGACACATTTAAAACACATTTTACTGGCTAATTAATTATACATTACTAAGCTATAACAATGACATCATATTCCTATTGATAGCAAGAAAAACCCTTTAGAACTCAATACCTGGATGAATTTCATTTTGCCACGTTGTTTCTGTCATAAAGTTTTAGAACTGCAGTTTAAAATAAAAGATGAGTTAATAGGATAGAAGGAAGGGATTGTTCCTTTTTCCTAGCTGTATGTCAGATGTGTCTGAAATCTGCATACCTCAGATTTACCTCTGGTGCAGTGAAGGGTGGTGCAGATTACAAAACCTGGCTTCCTTCTGCGTCTTCCTAGAGCTGCCCTTATACTTCTTTTAGAATAATCTGTTGAGGTAAGGTCAGTGAGAAAAGGTTGACAGAGTGTAGTGTGACTAAATGTATACCTTCAAAGCTGTATTGTGTGAACAAAGAAAACAAAACCGCTTCTGCTTGGACAACACAGCCCAGCTGAAATCACCCATTTTCTCTGGGTGCTTCCAGGTGACATGTCGTCCCACACTTTCCAGCACATTTCCCCATCACTTTCCTTATCGCAAGAAGTCTGATCTTTGGGGAAAGCAGGTTTGTTGTGCACATGTTATCCACAGTGTACATCCTATCTGCACCCAGTGCTTTTTATATAAAAATGAGGTCCCAGTACTCATAGCTTGATAAAAAGTAAAATGCCTGTGTGTCCCCCTTCCTACACCCCTCCCCATTTTTCAGTTGAGTTTGTGATGAACTTTTAATTTAAAAGGGGTGGGGGTGATCTAAAATAGTTCTCTGGCAAGATAATAATTTCATTGGTGTAGAAAATAAAAAGACCTTATAGTTATAATACCATAATCCTACTACTTATATCCCCACTAACCCAGTAGAGCCGTAACAGGCGGGAAACATTTATTTATTGCTTTTTAAAAACACAACTTTGATTCCCTTCCTGAAACAGATCCCATTGATCCATTGGTAAAGTTCCAAATCCCCACCACCCATACCCTTCTCCTCTCCATTGTTTGCAAAATTGTTTTATGCAATAACAAATTCCCATTAAATCCTTTTTGAGTGGTATGCCTTTGTTCCGATATGCCTAACTTTCTCTGGAGTACGCCCTGACATCAGGCACTACCTAGCCATTTATTTTTAACTCCCTCAAGATGAGGGCATTAACTTCTAAAATTGGACTATGGGAGCAAGTATTTTCTCTTCCAGCTTCAACTTTTTAAAATATAAATGTTCGAATAACTACATACCAGTTTGTTGAGAAATCCAAACTGCTTAGTAATTAATCCTTGCTACTGTACCACCCACTTTCAGTGCTATATAAACTCTGTTTAAATATAGAATGGGTGGCTACATAAGTTAAACAGCAACAGAAAACCATTAATGAAGTCAAATTGAATAACAATACAGCAGCACTCCTAAGCAGCCGAAGACTAACATAAATGTCCATGTAGCAAACAGAAACTGAGGTGCCCCCACCCAAAAAAGCTTGGCTGTCACAGAGCCTCTGCTGCCCCCTCCCCCCATAGCCTTGCAAAGCTGGGATCCGGGGAGGGTGGTGGCGCCTGCCCACCCATGCTAGGGAGAGCCCGGGGAGCCGACGTGGATGTCAGAGAACTGGACTTTCTGACAGGCAGAGAAGAGACAGATACAGTGGCAGGAGAGAGAGAATTCCTAAGGGATGCGGGATAAGCAGTTAGCCACAGGAATTCAACCTTTGTACACAGAGAGAAAGACACAGAGAACAGGAATTCAGTTGCAAAGCTCAGATAATGACACACACAGAAATAGGGGGGGGACCGCCCCCCCCCGATCTCGTAGACTCATGAGATTAGCTGAGAAGCGTGAAACGGACAGGAAGAGAAGGTGATGTTTTTCCTGTTGGGGGAAAAGGGGCAGAGCTCAGTTCTGGCAACTGGGTCATTGGAGGAAGACTGAAATTAGCGGAGCTCCAACCGGGGCTTTTTGTTGAACCAATAAATCTTAGATAATTAACTGCCGGAGTCATCTCGTGTGGGGGGGAGAGATCCAAGCTTTACAGTGGACTTGGCAAGCGCAAAGCAGCCCCCCACCCCCCACTGGCACCCCCAGTGCAGCCCTGCCTGGTGCTCCTCTCTGCGCCACACTGGGGGTGCTTGTGGGGGGGCACCTATTGCACACTCCCTCAAAAATCTGCACCTGGGGCCATGGCACCCCTGGCACCCCCACGCTATGCCTCTGCCTGTACATCACATTAGAGCATTCCACCGGGGGGAAAAACAACCACTGTCTGTATTCAAGTTGTTCTTTCTTGGGAAAAACTGCATTTTGATGCATTTCCCCCAAACCAGATTCAAATTGAGAAAAAGAATGACAACTGTATTTAAGAGAGAATGGAGATGGGCTGACTGATAAGCAAAGCTTTACAATAGTCAACAAAATGAAATTGAATTAGAATAGCCAGCTCATAGGCTTCCAAGTAGCATCATTGTGGGAACAGAATTGTGGACTCAATAAGTCTTTGGCCTGGTCCAGTGTAGGACCCTTCTTATAATAGTCTAAATAAGGTTTTTAGTTTAAAAATGACAAGCCATAGAAAGATTATAGTATGTTTAGTAGAACATATTGGATAGAAGTTTATGTAAAAGAAATATGAGTATAGTCCAAGAGGAAAATGATGCAATAATTTCTGCAGGTAAACCTATTTAAAGAGTAGATTAGCAATTGTAAGATTATTGTTTGATTTACGTGTTGTGTATTAATTTATTTTTTAATAAGGGCTCTGGAAACACTTATCTCTAGGATTCCCAGCACCTCAGCCAAACCCATTTCAAAGACAGAACATGTTCATGTATCCCCCACACTTTAAAAATACATTTTGTTCACTCCAAGTCTTTTAACTTAAAACATCAGCGCAAAATCTAGGAAATGAGAATGTAGAACTCCTCTCTTTTTTTCTTTTTTTCTCCTTTTGCAGCAATAGAAATGTGTGGAGATGAAATTGGAGGCATTCTGTGATCGGGCAAATTATGTGTACACTGAGCTTCTTCTGTGATGTTCAGATTGGCAAGCAGAGGAGTGAAAAGAATTGGCTAGGTGATAATGGGATGGAGAATTCCCGACATGTGTTCTGTCACTTTAGGACTGCAAGGGAGATTGTGATCACAAATTATTATCCCCAGGTGATTTTCACAGAACATCTACAAATTCTCTACTCCTTTCTCTAGCCCCATAGTCAGCAGGGGAGAGCATTCATTCCAGCTGGAGAAATAATAATCTGGTCTGGAGATTCTAAACCCCTACAATCACATTCCATTGTGATGGGCATAGAGGGAGAAACTACTGGTCCAAAGGCATTGCCTTCAGAGAGAAGGGTCTCACCTCAATCCAATAAATGAGTGCATAAAGATAATCATTATCCTCTTCCTAGTCACTATCCACTCCCAACAATGTTTTTAGATCTCAGGACTCCTCTCCTACAAAAACAGGTCTCCACCTCCCGCAAAGGAGTTGGCTAAGTTGAAGGAACTATTATAGGAGATGCAGTTAGTTCCTTTGATTTTGGAAGGAAGAGGGGAGAAATAAGATGAATTCCCTGGATTAGAATGGCTACTTTAAAAGTTATGGCTACTTTAAAAGCTTTTTTGGCTCATATTTAAAATAAGGGGCACAGTATATGTTATGTTAAATGTATATATATTTGAGGAGGAATAGATCCAGTCTCTAACTGGGGAGGGGATTAGTTCTTTCCTTTGCACCATGCTGCCAGTTAAATTGTCTCTTGGAAACTGCTAGTTGCCCTTGGCACCAATTGGAACATCCTTCCCACAGCAAGTAACAATGGGAGGGGGGTTGGGTCATCAGGACTGTGCTGCAATGGAAAGGGCTAATCACTGACCAGCTCCAAGCACTCTTAGATTAAACTGGTTTTCTGTTTCTATTTCAACTGTTTTGGCAATCAGACTCTTTTGGCTGCACTGTATGTAACCAAGATTGCATTGGTTGCACCTATGCTGGGAGACACTCTCAGTGACTCTCAATACGATTGATCATAGTATCATTCTAGATAAACTGTCTGAGTTGCAGCTGGGCAGTTGGGCTTGGCAGTACTACCACTTGCATGGTTAACTCCATAATATATTGCTGGGAGCATACTGTTCTGTTCTGTTCTGATTTGTTCTGTTCTGTTGAATCTACCTATGAATCCCAAAGGATTATCTCCCATGCTGTTTAATATCTGCATGAAACTGCTGAGTGAGAGCATCTGAAGTTTGGGGGTATGTTATCACCAATATGCAGGTGACTATTCCTCTTTTATATCATAATCAGGTGAGGCAGCTGGCATGCTGAGCCAGTATCTGACCGTGGCAATAGACTGGATGAGGGCAATAAACTGAAACGCAATCCGGACAAGACATAAGCACATTTAGTAGGTGGTTACTTGACTTGGATGCGTGGAGTTTAATTAGTTCTGAACGGAATCATACTTCCTGTAAAGCAGGCATGGCCAGACTTGGCCCTCCAGCTGTTTTGGGACTACAATTCCCTTCATCCCTGACCACTGGTCCTGTTAGCTATGGATGATGGGAGTTGTAGTCCCAAAACAGGTGGAGGGCCAAGTTTGGCCATGCCTGCTGTAAAGGATCAGGGGTACTCCTGAATCTGTCATTGAAGGCACCCACTCAGTCACCTGCTGTCTGATGGGAAGCAATCAAATTCCACACACCCCCATCAGTCTCTCAACCAGGGATCCCAAACCCTACAGAACAATATCACAGTGGCATATAATTCATTCAAAAGCAATCAAATGGGGTGCTGCAAGTGCCCTCATCCCAATGCCAAAGGGACAACCCTCTGATGTGTCAGCCTACCATGCTGCTGCAGCTTTCACAGGAGGTTGAATGTGAAATTATAATTGGTTGGTTTTCCCTCACTTCCTGTGTTCTAATTGTGTTTCTTGAAAAAGGCTGTGTACTGTTCATATGCAGATGATAATAAATTAAATAACTGTAGAATAAACTGCAGCTGATTTAACTTGAATTGGTACAAACTGACATTTTCATTATGCTATTATTCTTCCTATGTCCCGGTTTTCCTAATGTGAGCATTGTGTTTAGAACTAATTTTCAAATATTTCACATTTCTTAATACTATTTGTCTGATTAATTAATGCATAATACATCCTGGAGACTAATTTGTTTATTCCTAGTGGACTCATTAGGAAGTGCTGTATGCATAAGAGATTAAATTTTAAGAGAGCTACCTTACAATGATTGAATCATATGTCTTTTTTCCTAAAGCCTGACAATAATGCAAGCTATGCTCCTTCCTTGAGCATGGTGGGGGTGGTAGCATTACTTCATGCTTTTGAACCTCATGTTTTTGAACAATATTTTTACTTTTGTGAATTGTGGAGGGGTACTGAAAAATGGAATATCTAATATCTATATGTGTGATTTACTTGATAATAGAATGACTGGATGTAGTTGATGCAGAGGAACTTATATTCAGCCAATTATAGCCTGCTTCCCTTCCCCAAGTCTGAGTAACTGTCTCATTGAACTGTAGAGTTGGAAGGGATCCCAGAGTCATCTAGTCCAACCCCTTGAAATGCAGGAATCTTAGATAACTTAGATGAATAATGGCAGAATGCTGCAGTATAAAGACAAAATGTGTCTTTCTTTTAGATAGCTATTGAAGGGAAATGACTTTTATTTTATTTTAGCCTATAATAACATACGGTATTATTTCTCATTCATTACCAATGTTGGGAATTGAGGTTCAATTTGGAATGGGGCATACAGTGGGGAACCCTTTTGGGTGCTTATTCCATTTTCTCTTTCACAGTTTTCCTGATTATACTCACACTCATTCTCTCTCACACACACCAAACCTCTATTTGGCATCAGGGAAAACATGTATATTTAAAACAAGAACACTTGCTCTAGGCTGGGGTTGCATTCTCTCTGAATGAGACCATGTGTAGTTTGGCAATGCTCCTAGAGCCATACTACAGCTGCATTTTAAAGGTCTGGATGACCTCAATGGTTTAGACTGCCTATTACCAACTTTGATTGGTATGCCACCTACAACCAATCCTGAGCAGGGATAGCCTTGGCATAGTAGGTGTATTGATTAGACTACCATAATGTGCTGTATGTGCACATTAACTAACTACAGCTAATTAAAAGGCAGGTGCTAGCTTCTGTACATCCAAGGTGAGTGCCTATCAATATCTGAGCCCCATGTTGGTTTTGGCTAAATTTAAACCCCACCAGTCTACTACCCTTAGTATTGCAATATTGTCATGAGAGCGCTTGGA